CTGCGCACGCCCACCCACCTCTTCCTGGTCAACCTCAGCCTGGGCGACCTGCTGGTGTCCCTGTTCGGAGTCACCTTCACCTTCGCGTCGTGCCTGCGGAACGGCTGGGTGTGGGACGCTGTGGGCTGCGCGTGGGACGGGTTTAGCGGCAGCCTCTTCGGTGAGTCGCCCGGGACGCGTCCTCCTCGCCTCCCAACTTTCCCTGGGTACATCAGCCCCGGGCCAGCCATCACCCCTGACTCCCGGTCTCTCGTCCCCCGGATCCTCCCTTCCAGCCTATCTTCTCCTCCCAACTCCCTGTTTCCCTCCTCCTCGGGGTACTTCCAGCCAGTCATCATCCCCAGCTCCCAATGCAGCTATAGCAGTTCTGAAAGTCTCCCTACCGCTGGCCAGCTTGTATCTTCTCATTTCTGTTCTGTTCTACTTCCTAGTGTAAGCTCAACAGGGCATTTTCACAGTGGGCTTTACACAAGGGAGAGAGAAATGAGGGCCTGTAGAGTCCAAGAGATGCATGAAAAAAGTCAACTCCTGAAAAGTGGAGAAGGGGGAAAGGAGAGATTTCTTTTAATATCTAATTAGTATTTGTTTCTCAAAGTGACACATAGAAGCACAAATAACGGTGTATGTTTCCCCCTTTCATTTGCTAGCAATTTTAAACCGTTGAATGCTTCCAAGGGAGTGAGACCGCATGACACTTTAATTGTATTTCCTCTACATGGATTCTGTCACACCAGAGGTTACAAATGGCTCAGAAGTCCAACTCACTGGTGTGACTAAGTAATTAGCTGGGCAGTCAGTACATTTAATTAAAGTAGAACTTGTTGATTTCTTGAAGATTTATATTGAGAATTGACAGGTTAGAGCTTGACTAACTGAGTATTCTAGGCTTGGGAAAGTGTGTGTGTGTGTGTGTGTGTGTGTGTGTGTGTGTGTGTGTGTTTGGTATTCGTGTGGAGGGTGTAGGCTGTGTTGTGTGTATTTGTGTGTCCTAAGAATTTTGTTTGTACAGAGATTTGAAATAGAAATGGGTATTTCTTAAGTCTTAAAGTCCCCTTTCCAAACCTCGAAACACACTAATAATTTATTGTTGTCTTTATTTTGGCAGATCTTAGAGAAAAGCATCTATGTAATATCATGGATATTTTTATTTGCCAACTTATGTGTGACAAACCTAAATCTCATGTTATTTGTCATGATTCCTTTTTTTTTAAGTTAAAGAAAAAAATTGGGAGTTTAGTCTCTTCTCCTAGTAAACATTAGCCAAGGATTTCCTTTATACAAAAATACTGAACCTTGAGGAGGGGCTGTATAAGGATGTAAATGGAAATGTAGCTTGGCTATATGATTATTCTCTGTGTTAGAGAATTATTCTCTGTGTTAGAAATGTTAGTCGGGAGGGTTTGGGGCTGAATCATCTTTAAAGAAGGTCTAGCTTACAGAATCCCTGGGGTAGGCGACAGGTGTTCACAGAAATAAAAGTTCTTTTTTTCTGTAAAACACTGTTCTGTGCTGTGGTGATCAACTGGGAGTATGAAAACAAAAATGAGTTGAATTTTTGTTTGTTTTTTGTAAGGGTTTGCAGCATCCACCCTGTTTTACCCCTCTTGCTCTGTCAGCCTCATCTTCCAGTCCTTTCTTCCCTGTTCCCCCTGCTGGGAGCCATCCTTATCAGAAGAAAAAAAAATTTTTTTTTTTTTTTTTTCCCGAGACAGGGTTTCTCTGTGGTTTTGGAGGCTGTCCTGGAACTAGCTCTTGTAGACCAGGCTGGTCTCGAACTCACAGAGATCCACCTGCCTCTACCTCCCCAGGGCTGGGATTAAAGGCATGCGACATCAACGTCCAGCCCAGAAGAAAATTTTTAAGGCCTCTAGAAACACCACCCTGGTGTTTTACCTGAGGGAGGGCTCCTTTACTCAGGACGTTTATTAGTGCTTTCAATCATGGCATTACTCCCATCCTAAAGCCTGAGGCAGATCTTCTGGGCTTACAGGATTGGAAATCAGTTAACTCTTGGAGACAGGAATGATGTTACTGCAGAACTCACAATGTTCTTAGCAAAGATAACTTCTCCCTGAGTGTGCTTCTTGAGTAGGGTTGAGTAGGGTTAAGGCTGGAGTAAGGGAGACTTCCTTTCCATCCCTAAGCCAGGACTAATCAAGCCTGAGTACTAAAGGAGAGGAAAGTTTTAAATGCTAGAAGTGGCTAGCTGCTAGCTCCAGAGCTTTGGTGTGGCTGCCACCACTGGTCTTGTTGGGGGCCTATGGCTACTTGATTTTCTGCGTTTTCCCCAAGTCATCCACTCTCCCAGGCTGCAAGTTTTCCCATCTTTGTTATCCACTATTGAGCTGACTGTGTTTAAGGTCATCTATCCCATTTGCTTTGACATCCTTAGGTTAGAAAGTACCTATACTTAGTGCTTATAACCTGCTTCCTGCCCCACTGGCCCCACTGCCAGCCTCAGCCTAGAGGAAGTGAATACATGTTTACACTTTAGTCCTCATAGATTCTGTCTCCCTCTTTACAACCTGTTAGAAGAAGGGCGAGTAAGTAATTCACCTATTCTTACATATTTACACAAGTAGACTAAGCAATTGCTTCATTCTGGGCTCTCATCCTGGCTTCTCAAAGAAAGCTAAAAATAAGTAGAATCCCTGATAATCTTGGTCCGAGGTTTCTACCAGCTGGGCTTGTTAGGATCACTGTTTCAGTTAAACTGACAGGTCGGACCAGCTACTTAGTGAAGTTCGTGTAAATTCCATTTGTATGGCTTGTTTCGTAAATATCAGAAGTATCATTCTCTTAGGTGTACCTGTATCTAGAGGTCAGCAGATTTAACGGTAGTGAAAAGTAGAGGCCAAGGAACACTTGCTGCTGCTATGCATGGTGAGCCATAAAAGGCTGGCAGTGGGGTGTGTGAGTGTGCCAGCCTGCCGACTTCCAGGTGAGTATGTCCAAGGGAACAGCCTCCAGCCACACCCAGCATCACATGGAGATAGCCAGCATGTGATGGGAGGGGACAGGAGAGTCCTTTCCCATTTCTTCTTTAGAAATGAAAACATGTTTAGAGAGAGATTCGTAGTTGCAGAGACAGTCTGGCAAAATGTAAATGTCTCCTCACTTAGGTGTTATGAATAGATGTTATTTATATTGAAATGGTTTAATACAGGAAACCAAGAACTTTAACTTACACATGTACTTTGACACAGAAAATGTTACAAAACTGTTTCCCCTCAGGCCTGTTCTTTTACATACCTACATACATTAAATGCCAGTTATTGAATTAATTCTCTTGTAATGTCTGGATGTCTCATGTATCTCCTGCAAGATCCTTAGGGTAGTTCAGGATGTAAAATCTCCTATGCAGCTGTCTGGGGTTACCCGCAAATGTTCCTGACCACAGAAATATCTGCCATTATGTTGACATGCTCACTCAGCATAGTATGTTTGCATAAACACAGTAAAGCCACATATCTCTTTTAGTCTAAGCTCACAGTATTGTCCAGATACATAATTAACAATCAAATAATTGTATAATTTTTTTATTTTTTGTGGGATATTGTGTCCATGCCTTATGACAGTATTGCTGGGCTGTGGGGAGAGAATATATTAAATATCTTTTGTTCATTTTCAAGAACTAAGAAGACCTATGGGAAAGCATTTAATGACTTCTTTGGGTAGAGGTTTGTAGCCACGTTAACAAGTCAGACTCCGGTGGATTGAAACTGCTGTTGCATGAAATTGCTTTTATATTATTTATCATTGTGTTCTTTTCTTGAATTTTCTTCTTTCAGAGGAGAGTTCCAGTCACAAATGCACATGTGATGCATGGTAACATTTCCCGCTAAGGTGAAATGCAGAAATGAAAAGGACGCATCCATTTGAGTATTCTCACATACGATTACATGCATTATCGTGTTTTCCATGCTACTGACTTTTTTTTTAATGTTTAAAAATTGTTAAGCGTTAAACAGCTTAGGATTTGCAAACTCAGTGTTCCTGATTGAAGATCCCAAGTAGAGATTTTATTACAGCATAAATACCTCAGAGGAGCCCTCGACCTAGTTCCATACAGAGTTCTTTCATCAGCTGTGACCTGAAGTTTCAGCTCCTAGGATGGCAGACAAGCTTCCCACAGAGTTTGATGTAGTTATTATAGGGACAGGTTTGCCTGAGTCCATCCTGGCAGCTGCGTGTTCCAGAAGTGGACAGCGAGTTCTGCATGTTGACTCCAGAAGTTACTATGGAGGGAATTGGGCAAGTTTCAGCTTTACAGGCTTGCTGTCCTGGCTGAAGGACTATGAACAGAACCATGACAGCGAGGAAGACATGACTGCCTCGTGGCAAGACCTGATCCATGAAACGGAAGACGCCATCGCTCTTTGCAAGAAAGATGAGACTATTGAGAACACAGAAGTCTTCTGTTACGCCAGTCAAGATGATGGGGACAGCACTCAAGAGAACAATGCTCTGCAGAGAAGTCCTTCCCCAAAGGCATCTGCTACCCTGGCTGACTCTCTGGATTCTGCAGGTTTGCCCAAAGAAGGGTACACAGTATACTTTTCAAGCCACGAAGCACCTTCTAGACACACAGAGAGAAGTGATACGGAGCCGTCACCATCCTTAACTGATGCAGAGAACTCACTGGATCAAGAAAAGGATGGTGGCATCCAGACAGTTTCAGATGGAGATAAAGATGAAGACAAACCTGATATAGAAGACAACAGCAAACAACCAAAGAGAAACAGGATTACTTACCCTCAAATGATTAAGGAGAGCCGGAGATTTAATATTGACTTGGTATCGAAGCTGCTGTATTCTCAAGGATCATTGATTGATCTTCTCATCAAATCAAACGTTAGTCGTTACGCAGAATTTAAGAATGTCACTAGGATCCTTGCGTTTCGGGACGGGAAGGTAGAGCAGGTGCCTTGCTGCAGAGCAGATGTCTTTAGTAGTAAAGCGCTCACCGTGGTTGAGAAGAGAATGCTAATGAAATTCCTCACATTCTGTTTAGACTATGAACAGCATTCTGATGAATACCAAGACTTCAAACAATGCCCATTTTCTGAGTACCTAAAAACTAAAAAGTTAACGCCCAACCTCCAACATTTCATACTACACTCAATTGCAATGACATCAGAACCATCCTGCACTACGTTAGATGGTCTTAAAGCAACAAAAACCTTTCTTCAGTGTCTTGGACGGTTTGGCAACACTCCCTTTATATTTCCTTTATATGGCCAAGGAGAAATCCCCCAGTGTTTCTGCAGGATGTGTGCAGTGTTTGGTGGAATCTATTGTCTTCGCCATAAAGTCCAATGCCTTGTAGTTGATAAAGACTCTGGAAGATGTAAAGGGGTCATTGACCACTTTGGTCAGAGAATAAGTGCCAACTACTTTATTGTGGAGGACAGTTACCTTTCTAAGGAAACCTGTTCAAATGTGCAATATAAGCAGATCTCGAGGGCTGTGCTTATCACAGATCAGTCCATCCTAAAGACAGATTCAGACCATCAAATTTCCATTCTGGTAGTGCCTCCACTAGAGCCTGGAAGCAGCTCAATTCGGGTCATGGAGTTATGCTCATCAACCATGACGTGCATGAAGGACAGCTATCTGGTCCACCTGACCTGTGTTTCTTCAAAAACAGCCCGAGAAGACTTGGAACCAGTAGTTAAGCAGTTATTCATTCCTTTTGCAGAAGCAGAAACAGATGAGGAAGAACTCAGAAAACCAAGACTCTTGTGGGCCCTTTATTTTAATATGAGAGATTCCTCAGGAGTGAGCCGAAGCTCATACCATGGTTTACCTTCCAATGTGTACATCTGCTCTGGGCCTGACTGTGGACTGGGGAATGAGCATGCCGTTAAGCAAGCGGAAACACTGTTCCAGGAGATCTTTCCCAGTGAAGAGTTCTGCCCTCCTCCACCAAATCCAGAAGACATTATCTTTGAAGGTGAGGGTTAGCAAGCAGACATCCTGGAGTCAGTAACACACTTACCATCCAGCTAGACACCCCAAGGACACAGCAAGGACTTGTAAAGCACAGAACACCTTCGAAATTAAAACTGACTGGAAGTATTTTCATCCTGGTCTCACAATATTGTCACTGAAAGACAGCTGCCATTTGTGATAAGCGCTGTTCACATGTCTTCAACACCAAGACACTGGGTACCCTAATAGCTCTGCTAATCTGTCAGCATCTGGTTTGTGGTGACTCACCTTTTTCAGAATTGGCTACAGGAATCCAGAATCTCTGAATGTCATTAGCTTTATTTTACTTTTGGGTTTCACATTAGCGACATTGCTTAACTTAAGGTAGCATCGTCTTCTGTGTTCTGTGTTCAGGTTTTATCATTATCTACACAAAAATTAATATCCACAGAGTGCTACTACTGTTGCTACCACCTCGGGTGCACAGAGGAACACATAATCATAAACGGAGTGAGTTTTTTGTATATTATGTAAACACACAGGGCTGGTAGTAGGAGTAGCAGCTAATACAAGTATGGTAAAAAAGCAAGTGTTAGAAGCTTGGCCATGCATGAGCCTGTGGCTTGGGGCTGCTATTTACATGTGATTTCACCTGCTTTAACCTTTGTCACTGAGGAGGCAGTGAGACTACGCTAGCCTGCTACTTTACAAAAAAAAGTGCCCCTTAGTCGTTTGAAGAACCTCTTATTTACGAGATGTATTGCAATCTGGGTATGGTTGCTTATTCATGTAATGCTAACATTCAGGAGGTTGAGACAGGAGGATTGCTGTAAAATCCAGGCCAGTCTGGGCTACTGTGTCGAAACTCATTTCAAAACAAAACCAACCCCACTACCTACCAAAAAAAGAAGTATATTGTAAAGAAAATTAAAGGGACAAATTTATTCAGAAAATTTCTATAGAGCTGACTAATACTTAAAAGAACTAACAATTAACTCAGGCTAACATAAATTAATAAGTGACCCTAGAAAAAGGTATTTTAGGATAAGTGTTTAGAAATTTCCAGAAAGGAATCCCAAGGAAAGAATAGTGGTGCATCTTGATGTGGGAATTATAGATGCCTTTAAGTTACAGATTTCCCCATTCCGGCTTCTCAGAGTGAAACAGGACACCTGATTAGCTTTAAGGAACACTGTAACTGACAGAGTGCATCACTTCCGCTACACGTAGAATGGGAAGCTTTGGCTACAGAGCCACCTGACCACCTGCAGTGTCCCCGCAGTAAAAGCCCTCTACTGTGAGAAGAGGCACAGTGTGTCAGCAGATTACAGTGTGGTCTGAATATCCGCTAGTATATGCCCTTCAGTGAGAGAAATGAGGTAAGACATTTCAATGAATGCCAGTGTGCTGAGAATAGAAAGCCATCCATTGGTCCCGGTGTTTTTTAATATAATAATCCATAATATTGTATAGATCTTAAGGATTAAATATAGCAGAACAACTAAGATAACCTTAAATGACCTAGAAGTAGCAATTAAGAGAATTTAAGTTCATAAATTTGAGAGAATTAAATTCATAAAGTTTGTCAGACCACAGTCTTTTCAAAAGATATTAAAAAGAGGCATAGTTGTAAGAGATAAACAGGGCTGAATGTAATAGAAATGAGGATTAGACGAGGTCAAAGCAGGGGTTTGTTGTTTTTTGTTTTCTAAACATTAAGTGGAAGTGCAGCAAGTGAGCAAAACTTATTTTTAAAAAATATAAGGGATGTTATCTAATTTTCTAATGAGTTAGAATGGGTTTCTTGGTAGTTTTCAGTTGTTTAAGAAGGAAGATCATAAATGCTACCTTCCATTAATTATATGTGACTCAGTTAGGGCTCCATACTAACAGTCTAACCAAATTTCTCATTCTGGCCAGGTGAAACTGTAGAGTAAAATGTTGGCCAAGGAGGTAACAGCTATCAGAAACAGTGTCTCAGGATGAGAAGGCTTGTGTCCAGTAGAGCATCCCTGCATCAACATGAACAGAACAAGAGATAAGAACCCATAATATTAACTGCACTAACTAGGTGCCTCCATTTGGTTTAATTATGTTTGCTAATGAATTTGTGGGCTTTTCATAATATGATAAGCAACTACTTAAAACTTGTATTTATATTGGGAAAGTCAGTAATCACCATTTCTCAAGCAGAAATGAACAGCTTTGGTACTATTTTTATCTGTGTATGTCTGAAAAAAATTGTCACTGGAACAAAAAATACAAAGTAAAGATGTAAAAAGAAACCAGTGCACATATATTCTATTTCCATGGCTTTATACCTCACTAAACCTCTATTACCATATAAATACAATATGAACAGAAGATAATCTCACAAGTTGCAAAATGCATAGTTTTGTTTTGTTTTGTTTATTTTTGAAATCTCATTTCTAAATTCCAATTGGGATGGAATTTTCAAAAGCATTGATATTAATATAGATGAGCATCTTTAAAATGTTGTAGCTGTATTAGAGTAATTTAAGAAAGATAAATAGAAGGTTTAATGAAGGAGCTAAATTTAAAATATGAGTATGCTACCATGAGAGATGTTTGCCTTGAAGAAAATGCTGTAAACACAGGGAGACCACACGTCATTTATTATCAGTTGTCTGATCTCAAGGCAGTCACTTTCAGCTTCCATATACCATCTATCAAATAGAAATAATACTTAACAGAATTACTGTGAAGATTATGTTGGATAATGCATAAGAACCCATATCTAAAGTAATGCCAGCATGTGATATTTGTAACTGATATTTATTACGATATCATTTGTGACGCCAACCTTATGCTTTATGAATTTGTGAGAATTGTGATAAATTACGCATGCAGGAAAGTAACCAAGGAAAGATGTCTTCAGTTTTAGAGGGGAAAATGTGGGGTTTTGCCCTTCGAATCCTTAAGGTGTGATACACAGACACTGAAATTGTTCTGTGGTGCTGAGTTAAGACTTATCAGCTACCTGGAAAACAGTATTTAGAAGCTGTTCATAGGAAGACTAGATCAGTATGGAGATATATTCTAGGCCACTTTGCATCCAATAATGCAGTTTATTTGGTAATTGAAATATTAAACATGAAAGTAATAAGAATACATTTTTTACCTCAGTAATGATGCCAAGGAATGTTCTGGCAGGTGAACATTGACAAGATAGACCAATTAAAACTTAAAAAAAAAAAAATAAGTACATAACAAGGAGAGAAGGTAGAATAAAAAAGCTGTTTTTATTGCATGGGTGTTTTTTATTATTTTAATTTTTCAAGACAGGGCTTTTCTATGTAGCCCCAGCTGTTCTGGAACTTGCTCTGTAGACCAGGCTAGCCCCGAATTCCTCAGTGCTGGGATTAAAGGCATGCACTACCACTGTCAGCTTGTATTTTGTTTTTGTTTATTTTGAATTGTTTTAGTGGGTGCAGATTCTTTAGGCTTTCTACTCTTCTTGTGCAGAGCATAAAGTGATAGGTTGCAATTGGAAAAAAAAGAAGTAAAAATAAACTCTTTGATCCTCAAATTAATTTGCATTAAAATAGATATTAAAGTAGCTTTGACTGAGTGCCTTCTAGTTAGTGGATTTTTCAGTCTGCATGAGCCTTCATACAGCAGCGTCATGTATTCATGGTCATTTTGAAGAACTAGTCGAGATTAACCAGACCTCTATAACTGATATTTTTGACATCACTTTGAGTGGCACATGCCCAGGAAAAAACTCAGAATGAACAAATTAATAAATAAAGCAACTTCTAAAAAGTAAGTTTTTTTTTTTTTTTTTTTAACCTTCTGACTAAGAAATGGATAAATTTTGGTGTGCTGCTAGTGCTATAGTAACCTTACAGAGAGTTAGATGGCATATGTAAGATTGTATGTAAACAGTTTGACAATCAAAAAGATGTTAGTTTACAACCAAAATTATTGCGTGCTGGTTACATTTGTATAAAAATTCAGATCCCTACACTGGAAGGAATCAGAAGGCATGTAATCGCAGGTTAATACTTAATATATTTCTGTAAAATATTGATGTGTACAATAAAAATAAAAGATTAACTGGTGAAATGTTTGCTTGATTGATGACAAAATACTGATTTCTTGAAATCATATAAATTCTTTAAATTAAAAAGAAAATACATTTCTAACTGTTAAACTAAAAGCTAATATCCAAGAATGTGTGGCTAAAAGTTTTTGCAGGACTTTGTAAGAAGATAATTTGATGAAGATGAACTTTTATCTTCCGTGTCTTTTCTCAGTTGTCCTACTTTAAGAGCTAATCAGAGAAATAGCTGGTGCATTCCAGCTCATCAATGTGAAGATCTTCCAGGGCCCACCATAGTGGTGTATTCCTGTAATCCCTAAAGTTGGGTATAAGTTTGAGGCCAGCCTAGACCACATACCAAATCATCCAGGGCTATGTAGACATCCTGTCTCAAGAGATAGAGAATGAAAATTACATAGTATTCCAAATCTAAAGTCATCCATCACTATGGAGATTGAATATGAGGGCCATGAAGATGAGGTCAGTTCACAGGTGTCCACCAAGCAGTTTCGGGGAGCCCTTTGCAGAAAGGATACATCTAGGGACTGTGAATGCAGGCCAGTACTTTCTTCAGTCAGCTTGAGTGATCTGAAGCAATGTAACCTGACAAACATCAGCTAAACACCTAATGTGACTATGAGTTGGCATCAGTCAGTTTAGGGGTTAAAAATATGAAAGCAAACATTCTCTACCTGAGAAGCCTGTTGGACTGTTACCCTAAGGTAAGGTGTCCTTCCTGCTAAACAGCATTATGACATTTTCTACCCACCACCCTTAATCTGAAAACTCAACACAACCCTCTGAATTGTGATACATGGCATATTTTTTTTTCAATTTTATTTTGTAAGTTGTTCTTTTTAGAGTGGCAATTTGTAAGAACATCCAAACTCCCCTCCACCACTACCACCGGGGCATTTCTCTAAGAGGGTGCCAAAGCTTTGAGTTGCATATTTGGAAACAAGCTTCTTAGTTGTAGAAATCCGTCCTATCTAACATTCTCAGCTTTGTGTCCTGTCTGGGGAAGAGGAATCAGAAGAAACTGAGCCCAAAGCACAGGTCCTGCGTGTTGAGGGCGAGGAGAGTATAAATAGCCAAAAGACAGAAGCAGAGTGTGGAGGTACCACAAACAGTGCCCTGTTTAGGATCAGATCGAGTTGCCTTTGTGGTAGATGGAGTTGAAGTCTCATTCCACTGGCCTTGTCTTAATTTGCATTTATATATTTGTTTGGGGTTGGGGCTGCTACAGTACACTTGTGGAGGTCAGAGGGCAACTTGTCTGTCCCTCCTACTACAAAGTTTCTAGGGATTGAAATGAAGTCCTTGAGCTTGTTGGCAGGCCCCTTATCCGCTGAGCCATCTCAACTCTCTTTTTAACTTTTATTATTACTGTTTTTGTTTTTGAGACAGGATTTCACTTATCCAGGTTGTCTTTGAGCTTGGATTTCTAATGAAGAACTTCTGATCCTCCTGCAGTACCACACCTAATTTGTGGGGTGCTGGAGACTGAACCCAGGGTGTCGCATGCAAGGCAAGCATCCTCCAACTGAGATACATACTCAGCTCCCTGTACTGTGCTAGCCTGTATTAGAATGAGGTGTTGTTTCATTTTTTTTGTTTGTTTGTTTCATTTTTTAACCAATGAAAGAACACATATTTTCACAGGGGGAACAATATGTCCAGGTTTCTGTGAGACGTGCTCATGCAGATCATAGGTGACTCAACTTGATTATTTCATGGGCACTGGAATAGCAGTTTACTACAGTGTATGTAGGACACTGACGTGTTGCCTGGAGGTATCACTATAAGGTAAGGAAGGGCAAATTTTTTATTCATTTTACAATGAGACCTGGCATCCAAGTGATGTTTAATATTTAGATGGATCAGCATCTCTTAGGGTGCTGTGGTTCTGCTTGCCCTGAATAGAGTAGGTTGTTCCATATCTGTGCGCAAAACACATAAATCACCACTTGAAATGTGATGATTCTGAGGATGTGCTTTCTAACAAATACCCTATGAATTAAAATTTATACCTTACAATTTAAGCAGACTGATGAGGGTTGAAAGGAAGGGGGAGGAGGTTAATTGTGCACACATACAAAACTTTGTCCTTGTGTTGCTGTCAAGAGCTCTACATAAATTATTCTTACTCTCCTGTGATTTTAGCATTTACTGTTGCTGAACGTATATTTAATCCTTTATATACTCCTTAGAACTACCTCAGAGGCATACCCATAAGAGGAAGAATGGTAAAGCTTATGATTGGCAGGGCGTCAGGAAGGTGGGTGTTTGTAGTTCAGCCAGAAGGACATGGCATCTTCAAGCATTTTATAGTTCATAGGAAATAATTCTTGGAGACATCCGCACAGAAGGTTTCATACCAGAGTATTACTTGGTTTTGGCTTTTCTAGGCAGGATCGCTATAGCCTAAGATGGCCTTGTACTTGCTGTGTAGCTAAGAATGATCTTGAACTTGTGACCCTCCACCTTTCAAGTTCTGACATGATAGGTGGGCATCACCATGTCCCACCACTGATTTTAGCCGAATGCCATATAATTAAAGTCTCTGAGCCCTCTATCTTTTGAGATTTACTTCTTCCTTTATCTCATATATACTATGATGCCAACCTAGTTAAAATGGTCTTTGTAAGTTAGCATCTTTTTGTTTGTAAGCTTATAGTTAAACCTTTTGAATAAATCTCAGACCTCATACATCTTAAAGAAGAAGTATCATAGACTACCTTGCTGAAGATGCAGGGATCTTACTTTCAGGCAATCAATAATTATGAATTTTTCTATTTTAGAGTCAGCCTAGAATGAACCAATAAGACCATTTTTAAACCTACAAATTATAATTTTAAGATGTTCCATTAATATTTTTATTAATTTTCTACCATTAGAGCAGTGATTCTCAAACCAAGACATCTGCCCTCTGGGAGGCATTGGGGAATGTTGGGAGTCTTTGTTGACAGAATGGGAAGGGGGAAGCTAAAAGTGTTGTGAGACCAAGGTAGGGGTGCTGTCCTCATGCAATGCTCAAGGAGGCTCCTTCACAACAGGTTTACCCAGCACAGACATCACTGCTGCCAAAATGAAGGAGCCCAGAACAAATGATTATCCTAAGGAACCTCATTTCTCTGTGCCGGGACATCTGCCTGTTGTCTTCAGGATTTCTAACTAGGTCACTTGTTATTTTGTATCATGTCATTATCCGCAGGAATCCTAGCACTTCCACTGGGCTGCTTCGTTTATATCCCCTGCACCCACCCATCTCCCTTCTATTATGAGCCAACAGTGACTTCCTTCTGGAGATTTCAGATCATGCAAATGATTCAGAGAATCAATTAATACTCCCTACCCATCCTGAGTCTTCAGATATGAATTATAACTTCCATGGATTTAAAAAAAGTATTATTTCCAAGAACTAGAATAATTCCAAGATATTAAAGATGAGGATTTTTTTTTCATATGCTACCGAAAAACTGTAGCATATGAAAACAGCCTATTTCAGAATGCTCTTTGAAAGGGTATTGTGGGAAAGTTCTCATTACATACATCCAGCAGGCTCCTGTGAGTTTTAGAGGAGCCATCAGAAAACTGAATAAGCTGCTGAAACAATGGAACTGCAGTTTCGTTAACAGGGGCTTACCAGGTGTTGAGACGGTGTTGCAGATTGGTAGTTAATAGAAGGCATTAACTGTAAGTGCCTAATTGTGCTGGGATAAGTGTTCTTTACACAGAGAAAACCCTCGAAACCGTACCACAGCTAGATGCAGAGGTTTCAAGACAGCCAGCACTCACTGACTGGTTATCCCGGTGTCTGGGCTAAACTTTAGGAGTATGGATGCCAACAAACACTGGGTACTTATGTAACCCAATTGCTCCTGTAATTCTGGTTATCTTTGGTTTCATCCTCACTAACCACCCAGGGTAGGTGCTTAGATTGGCCTCATTTTGCAGAAAGGAAAACAGACACTCTGAAGGCAAGGAATTCGATGAATGTCATACGGTTGGTAAGTGGTAGGGGGGCATGATTGTGCTTCAAACTCTACCCTTCTGATACCATAACCCACGTGCTGTGACTGAGAGATGCCTTATCTCCAGAGAGGGGTCAGATCCAGTTCAGGGTCACCAGGAACTGCATACATTCCAGGAACAGTCCTTGTCTCCTCCATATACTAATTATTTTTTAAGCAGCCCTGTGATAGTAAACACTGATGTTCCCACGTGGGGATCAGATAGACCGTTCATTAACTCCCAGTAGGTGCAGCTTGGCTGTATGCATGATTGGAAAAATAGACAGAGACCAATGAATGCCCAGGAAAGTTACTTGTAGGGAGATCTGGGCACGTTTCACAAATGAGAAGACATTTGGCCTAGATATGAAGGATGAAAAGGATTTCCATGAGATGATACAAGGGAAAGCATTCCATGACAGAAGCATGGTAGAAACAAATGTTTGACTTGACATGAAATCCTACCCTTTCATTAGTTTCGGGCTGTTAAGATTCCTAAGTATGTTTTCCCTTCATAGGCTGGTTGAAAGCTCAAGGATTTGAGGCAAGGGCAGCCAGTGCCTTTATAACTGTCCCAGAGTAGGTTCTCACTGAACTCAGCCTGTGACTATAGGGCTCCCATCTATTTTCTATTGGGCGCCTATCTATGCATGGAGTCTGCGCCACTTTGGGCTTCCAGTTACAAATCACAATCCATTTACATTTTTCTTACCAGAGAGAGGAACATGGCACACACATAGTACAGGAGAGAAATTGGAAGCCAACGGGAATATCAATAAGGGCTTAGTCCAGTGTTGACTTACAGAGGTTCAGTAAGCAAATGCTTTAGCGTTAGATGTGTCCACTTATGAGACTACCCTGACAGACTTTGCCTGAAGGAGAGGTGTGAAATCACTGGGAGGTTTTTTAAAAATCACCAGACATCTCTCTGGCATTGAGGATCAGTAGGCTTCCTGAGATCATTGAGTGGCTGAAGACAGGGTGTGTGCTGTACCATGTAAAAAGAAGGG